AGATGGGTTAGCCTTGAGCAATGTCTTTTTCTTTTCCCTTTTTTCACTAGGTGATGTTTACAGAAGAGGATGTCAAGTTGTATCTAGCTGAGCTTGCCTTGGCCTTAGACCACTTGCACAGCTTGGGAATCATCTACAGGGATCTCAAACCAGAAAAGTAAGCAAAGCAAATCCACTACACTCATCAAGGATAACGGTTTGATGAATATGTCATCGTAGTGGATTTGTAATACATGTACATGCCATTTCATCATTAGATTGGAGAGGACATGAATTCCATGTACCGGTATATATGCATGTGTGATACAGATTTTCATCTCATAGAGACAAGTGTAATGGTGCATCAAGTATTCTTGGTCTGGATCATGTGCAATTAACAGGCATATCAACCCATAACTGCAACCTTGGTTTCATCTGAGAACAGTTTTTGTAGACTACATGTACTGAAATTCCTAAGAATGAGGAATGTGTACCATGTGTGCTATCCTCATCATATTGCTAGGCGTTTACATGTACACTGCACATGTACACGTATCGCAGCGCAGCTCAAAGCGCAAGCTTTATGTGTAAATGCCATCCTGGGTCCATTTGGTCATTGTGTTGTGATTGGCTGCCAATGAAATGTGTCAATGGCACTCAATCTCCACTATACATGTAACTTGTGGTATCACACATTTCACTGTAAATTTGTGGCTTGAAATAAAGTTTATAAATTTTCACTTTCACCGATAGAGGGTTTCTTAACAACTGGCACGGGGCAAAATTCTTGTGTCTTGCATTACGCGCATTTTTTGTCATGCTACATGTATGTGTGCATCATTTTATACAAGTTTTCAACCAATTTTTGGACATAAACTCATTGAAATGTCAGTGCAGCACAAATGTGTAAATTGTCCAAAAAGGCTTGTGAGTTGGATAAAATCTTTGACAAAACCAATCCTTAAGTTACAAATCCACAGAAATAGAAGTGGATGGAATATGCCATAGAGTAGATGGGCAGGCGACACAATCCACGCCTGGAAAATCCAAAAGCCTGGACATGCGATGTTTATTTGTTACAAAGAATTGAAATTTTGAAAACATGGTCAATTCAGGTGGGGAAAGGGCCAAGTAACTCTACAAACCTCAATATTTACTATTTTTTTATACCTACATGTATTACTAGTTCATTTTAACCATACCATCAGGATTTTCAGGCAGATGTGAAGAAAAAGTAAAATTAAAAGTATGCACAGCCAAAATTGCAAGAAAAAAAGACCAATGGTTGCAGCGTAGAGCTATATATACATGTTGCTCTATGGGTTGTGCATTTCTTAATTTTCATGGGCCATTAAGCGAACCCGGACCCCACGCTTTACATGTTTATGCTTCGTGCTTCACCCTTGCAATTTCAGTTTATACCGATATTTCCAGCTATTGTTTTAATGCTCCACTCACATCCTTTTTCCCTGTTACATTGAAATGGAGCTATTCTAGATATAATTCTGACTGTAAGTATTTTAATAAAGCTTGGAAATCAGTGATGGATTGTTTGACATGCCTACCATGCCTGATGGCAATTACATTATACAGCAGATGACTTTGCAAGAGCACTGAAGCCATGGATTGCCATTTTTCTGGTACAGTTAACGGAATTCCTAATGTTATGTGTGCTTGTACAATAACCTGTCCAAGTTTTCATTAGATTCTGTGAAAATACTGTCGTTGGGATGAATTTAAATTTTACTTGAGGAGAGCCTGAGGCTTTTGAAGGCATTTGATTGTTATGCATTTTTTCCTCAGCCAAATTATCAGGAAAAATATTGCGGTATTCGATATTTTCGTGATGATTTGTTTTTTATTTTGCCTTGCCATTGTTGCATCACAGGGTCAGTGTAAAATAAACACAACCACAATCCTGTAGTCCCCAAATGGTGCTGATCCTCAATTTTTTTTTCCTGGTTGGATGAATCCAACTTGAGAGCACATTCTAAATTCGTAAACTTTTACATGTACCTCTAAATGATTCATCATATTGTGAACTTTGTAGACAAACATCTTTTTTAAGTCCCCCCCTGAAAAAAGACACAGAGTTACATGCAGCCATCTTCCAGCACAGGTTGCCGTCAAAAGTAGGTATTATGGAATTGTGGGCTTGGTTTTTTAGTACAGAAATATACCAACTGATGATCCGTAAAACCAAACTTATGGCAAACTTGGTACGGAATTTCAGTGCTGTAGTATTCTTGCTGTGCTTTGAAAGGTTGCAGAACTCTTTAAATGAAAGGAAACCGCAATGTCATCCTATTTCATTCTGTTCTTAGTGGTTTGAGTCATCCAGTGTCGTGGGTGCATAAAAGATAAGACTTCATTGTCCAGCTTGACTTGGTAACATGGATGCTGAGCCACTGGTAACTCACCAGCCAAAAGTTTTTGAAGTTTTACATTTATAATCATCACTGCCTTTTTTCTTGGTGGTTTGATGCCGCTTAAAACGTCTAAATGGAAGTCCAAAACAATTTTTTTAACAGGGGTATATGCTTTGTCACAGTCATATATGTAAGCCAAGAAGTTGCTATAATACACAATATATATATATATTTATTAGAATTATAAACGATAATTCTTCAGTTTAGGGAATTTTATATGTTGACAACAACCTTCTCACTGCAGTTGTTTGCAGTCGTACATGTAGTTAATGTGAGCATAATGCAATGCTGCTTTTTTATGACTTAATACCCCCACTTCAAAGAATACAATGCTATTAGTAAATATTGCAGTATTTTTGTCACAAATAATGTGGTAAGAAAATGCAATACCATCTAAGCCTAGTCAAAAGCATAGCCACAGTGTCAAGTCAGTATTGAATGGAACCAGTGAAATCATGTTTACATGCACAAGTAGCTGCTAAGTAAGTTACCAGTGCCCATGTTCGTGACCTGTGGAAGTGTTTCACACGTGTGCCTGCAGAAAACTCGAAAACACAGTTGGATGTCTTACATGAATTGCCAGTGAAAGCAGGAAGAAGCAGCAATAGTAAAGAACTGTTGAGAAGCAAATTAAAATCGGATGTCTACCAGATTTCAAAAGACATAAAAATGAGCCTGATGATCTGACAAGACAGCATTCTTGACCATAATAGTAGCATGTGGACCTGCATAAACTGGTAGTGCATTTGTGAATTAATACCATGTTGGGACTTACTGGGCAATTTTCTAGTTTGTCATAAGGGGGATAAATTGAATTTATTTAGAGAGTAGAACATAATTTTTGCTCTTAAAAGAACCGTGTCATAGGATTTTTATGACTTCAGTACCGTACATGAAACACAACTTCATTTAAATGTACATGTTACAATGACTTGCCACCTGACTTTATAGCAGTAAAGGAGAGATGCATGTACATGTATGTGTTTCATCCATTTGGAGTTTGTGCTAATGAAGATTTTTATATTCATGAGCCAAAGTGTGATTTCATTCAAGGCAGAATGTGTCTCCTCAACTTTGTGTACAATATGTGTATCATACTTTTTCACAACGTTTTGTAAAGAGTACAGATAGGTTCCTGTTTTATAAATGGTAAACCTACTTCGTTTTCATGTTTAGCAGATTCTCTGGACAATATTAGTGCTCAAAATTCTTTCAGAGCATTGTTGGTGGTTTGATTTTGAAGGGCTGGTTTTTCTGAGTTTTGTTCTTATGCTCTTTTAACAATCAGTGCCTTGTATGACAACAAAATAGGGCTCTCTGGCATGTGTGGTGATAATTTTCTTAAATTCTGAGAAAAACTGCCACCATCTTTCCACTTCAAGGAAAACCAATGTTTAGATCTTGTTTGTATTATTGTAACACATAGTGATTTGTATGAAACAAGTTGAGCTATATACAGGATCTACTGCATGTTTCCTTTAAAACTTGACATTGATTTAATAGGGAATCATTGGCTACATTTGAACCTGCAGTGGTTTTTCTCTGCTGCATGTGAAGAAGTTACATGTATGTCCACTGTGGTCGCCAGTGAATGGTGGCTTCACCTGTCTCACCAGTTTATCACTGGTATCCAAAAACTCATCTGGGAAAGTGGGCCACTTCTACTTTTTGGCTAGACTTGGTGCCAAGCTGGTAATTGGTTTGTTAACAATTGTTCTTCAATATCATTACGATCTACAAGAATGTGTTCATTACTTGCTGCAATCTGCACGTAATAAATGTAATTGCATCTTTACACAGGGAGGTTGGTTGTGTCATTCCAAATGAGTGGATGACCATCCATCCAGTTACCAATTAGGAGAAATCGTTTTCAGTTTTGTAAATTAGAATTGCTCCCAAATTCTGGGGCAGCACTCAGATTGGTCTAGATTTCAGAGAAGATACGCATGTACATATTTATGAGCAATCTTATGTGGCATGTGCTCCATGCTGCTTCTTGAGGAAGGTTCATGTGTCGTTAATGGATTTAGTACATGTACTGTAAAATGTAACAATTTGAAATGAATGCAGAGAAGAGTGCTATTTCAATTAGACAGTGGAGATAGAGCTAAGTGTTGTGAAACCTGAGCAGCTACTAACTTTAAGCAGTGTCCTCAATAGCATGTTCATGCACAATTGTTGACCGCTGTGGTGTGGGGTATGACGTTGTGAACAACTGAGGGACGCATTGCGCCTCGAGGTGCAGCCGAGGGCACTATGCATGCTGTACAATATATGTAAATGATATCATTTGCAAATGCACTATTCCCCCCCCCCCTTTCGTTAATTGCGTAAATGCTAATGTGAAACTAGTGCGGGTACCAGTGAGTACATTTAAATAGTCTGGTTAGCGGTCCCCGCATTATCGGGGATGGGAACGAGTCTGTTGTATGAGTGCAGTCATTGACCGAATTCCCTGGTAGCCTGTGCTCAAGCATATAATAGGTACATTGTACATGTACCATGCGACACTGACTAAAGGACCACAAATGTTCATTCTCAAACTGCCTGAAGCTCTTCTATTTTGCGTGCTTACCCGTGTGCGTGCATGCACCGTCAGTAGAATGAGATGTTTCACAGTGATTTTGATATGCGGATATGTCGCCCTGTCATGTGATCGTTCTGGGCCAATAAACATACAATATCCGAGACAGAGGTATGACATGTGTGTTTGAATTTGTCAACATGCATCATGCACCAACCAATACGGAAAATAATTTGAATAAACATATCTTTACTTTGAGGCTTTTTACTTCATATTGTGTAACTTTACAAAATCAGTTACAATGTATATGCATAATCATGTAAAATCAAATATATTTTAGTGATACATTTCACAATTGACCCAGTTGTGCATTATTGTTACCAGATCTGCTCATGGCACATATTGTATTGAGAAGAAACCTTCGTTTAGCTAATTAATCCTCTCATTTGCATATCTTTGTGCTATTGGATCTCACAACAGAAAGCATTGCATATGTATTGCACTGCATCCTTATCTGGCATGTCTGGACAGTGGTGGAGGAATTAATTCATGAAGTCTTAGATAAGTCAGAACTCTGCCAATAATGTGACTCGTGTTACCAACTTCCAGTGCCAGATGTGTTATCAGAGGCAGTTAACCTAGGGTTTTGTAGTCTGAGTAACTTGGACTCTACAAATTGCCTTTTTTTTAACATTTGAACATTTGTTGAATCCAAGTTCACCATTTGGTGATTGCCCGGCAATGTCCACATTTTAAAAAAAAGCAAATAGTAGAGTCCAAGTTACTTGGACCATAGGGTTTTGTTGTCACAATTTGTTTTAGTTATCATAGAAGGAACCAATATCCCTGGGGTTTTGCGTGGAGATAACTTTTCTGAGTAATGTGTGATTGGCATTACATCGTCAACCCGACCAGTTTCAGTGGGTCTGTCCTAAAGAAGCCAAAGTGGATAGGGAATTGTTGTCTTAAAAATGTAATGAGTGGTAGGCCCCTCATGAAACATTTAATCAGCATGAAGAAGAAAGTGTTGCTGTTTTGTGGGTGATGTACAGCTTTCTTAGACCCATCTCTTCTGCTGGATCTAAATTCAGTCATATCCATATACAATATTTCACTGGTGAATTTTCATGTAAAAAGGCTAACACCAGTTAAGGACTTTTCCAAAGTTTTAGTGAATATTCCAGCATAACAACAAAAAAATAAATAGTGGAAAAAAATCGAGTCCCGGTATGTTTGCGTGGAAATGCCCTTCCATTCCTCACGAAGCAGCGCTGTACTGAAGAACCACCTATTTACCGCATGTACTTACACGTAGCCATGCTCACTATTTTACATAAATCTTTTTGTCTGTCCCAGAAGTCAAATTTTCCAGAAATTCCTGTCGATCTCAATTTGAAATAAGTATTTGTTATTTGTATTTTTGAAAATAATGTTTGACAATTATCAATGTTGTCAAAGGCGTTATTTCAGTGATAAATGTGGCACTTCAAAATGCTGCCAACTACACGTGAAATATGTCTTGCACATGTAAAGTTGTTAGTTTACCATATCCAATGCCAGTCGACATGACACTTGTCCATCAGCCCCCTGTGGGTAGGCACTTGTACATGTAGTTGGAGCCAGAGAAGCTGTGTTCATTTGTTGGCTCATGTCAGACACACAAAAAAGGATGTCAAAGGATATTCTTCAAGCAATTGAAAACGGTGTAGATTCCCATATTTTGGGATTTGAAGACTTCTACCAGTAAACCCCTAAACATGATTCCCACGTGATAAAAATACCAAATAGTCATGCAATTTATTTTTCCTGGTTGAGAGTGCATTGAAGTAATATCGCATTTAACATTTGCTCTGTCAGAGGGATTGAATATAAATCCCCCCAGCTGCCTCTGTGCTTTCTAAAGTCACTCTTTGCGTGGAGTTTGCCATTTCTGTATTATTTTGGACGTATTTCATTTCATGGAATTGATACCCTGGCCTAGTAGCTGGACTGTCCCTTTAGAATTTTCATTTGAATCAGTTGATTTGCTGGACTGACTTGAAATTGTCTGTAATCAAATACAGCATGCAGTGGCTGTTGTGCTATTGCGTTGCCTTTGAATTACTGACGTTGGTTCTTTCCGGATGTTGGGACGGGAAAATTGGCCCACAGTTGTTCACCTCAAGTATTCCTTAGAGAATTTTGGAATGGATTGAAGGTCACTGAAATTTTAGTTGCCTTTCTATTAAACTGTTTTGAGGCTGTACATTGTACTTTTTAGTCAGTTGTATTAATATTATTTTATTTAGCCATCAACGGAATACCAACAACATACAATTACAAAATACAAAAAGGAAACATAAGTGAGGAAACAAACTCAACAAATATGAACCAATCTAAATTGGCCAGGACTGACAAAAGTATAACCAAACACTGTGACTCTGAAGCCTATCAATCCCAACTTGGAGAGGTACAAATACATGTACACACATAAAATAGCAAGACGGTTCTATGTACTGGCACTTCAAATAAAAAAAATGACTATAAATAAGATAACGACAAATAACACCAATTCTGATAGCTTGAGAGCGTGAAAATAACTCATATTTAGATCATTACTCGTATGTTAACATGAAATTTGTGACAAGTTGCTGTGGTTTTGTCTGTTTCACCTGCATACATGTACATGTACATGAGTTTTACATCACATCATTTGTTAAAAAATCTAACATTTGAATCCACTTGTAAGGAAAAAGAAATCCGATGTTTTCTGACCTCTCAAATTGTAAGGTAAGCTTGAATAACATTCTATAGAAGCAAGGCTGTGACTTCAGTGGTAACCTTGCATGTTACAATTTTGCCTAATACATGTGCCGCTTCTTCTCCCCTGATAGTATTCTACTGGATGCCTCAGGCCACATCCAGCTGACAGATTTTGGTCTCAGCAAAGAGGCCGTGGACAAAAGCAAGACCTTCTCATTTTGTGGGACTGTAGAGTACATGGCACCTGAGGTGGTCAATCGTCGAGGTCATACAACAGCAGCTGATTGGTGGTCATTTGGGGTTCTAATGGTAAATATAAAAAATATAACTATATAAAAATAGAAAAATGTTCACATGCACTTAAATATCAGACATAGTTACTTTCTTAATACATATATTATATTAAGCTGTCTTGAAAAAACAAATCGTAGAAAAATAAAGATCAACTTTTTAAAATGTATATCGAAATTTATGACTAAAATTTTCTTTTTAAAAATCATCAAAACATACGTAGAACCCCCAAATACCCACAAATGTCATCCATCAAAACTGTAAAACCTACATCTCTCAACATGGTTGAGATTCATGGTTCATTCTGATTCATGTGAGTATTAGTAACAAAATGCAGATGTTGTACATGTATACGCACCCCTACGTATATGTACATGTAGGTCTTGGATATGACATTACCCCGTGTCCGTGTGCATATGCATTTTGACCAGTGGGAACTGGGATGGATTGGTTTGTGACAAACAGTGCTTCTGTACGCTGTAGTACCAGTGTGCATGCAATGTGCCTGCAATGTGATTTTCATTATTTTTCTCTTTATTCTAGTACGAGATGTTAACAGGTTCATTACCATTCCAGGGTACACACAGAAAGGAAACAATGGTCATGATCCTGAAGTAAGTGTTTAAAATTTCAAAACAAAGGAATGAAAAAGGCAAAGTCCATTTATTTGGTTTGAAAAGTGTCTGCGGCTTTGGAGGTGGTCATTGTCCATGTACACTTTACTAGGTACAAAAAAGTACTAGGTACAAATGCAATCCAAAAAGCTTTCTTGATATTTGGGAGCATCTTATCATGTATGCTGAACACTCTGAACACCAGAGCATGAAATTACAGTCAGATGTAAGCCATTTTCCAGTCACTTTGGGTATTTTGCCTGACCCAAAGTAAATTTAGTCAGACAAAATGTTCAAAGGAAATATGAAGATAAAAGTCCCAAAAGCAAAATCATGTAGGTGTATTTGCTCAATTTTTAGTGCTTGCGACATTTAAACTGTGAGGAAATTACAATAATTTGACCTTGTTGTGTCCAATTAACCACTTGCTGCCCGGTGGATTTTTCTTGAGCAAGACAAGATGCCGGCTCATTTTCAAGATTTTCCGTTTACAAAGTTCTTCAAAAATTCATCAGTTTATTTAATGGCCGTTTATACCAAAATGAAGGACTCTTTGGGCACTATTCTAAAGCTGACAGGTAAAATTCATTGACTCCTGCAGCCTTTTGGAAAAAGAGCCCAGATTGTGCGGTGTTACGTAAGATTCTTTTGTTCCCGAAACCAGCACAGTGCACTGCTGACCCCTTTTCAATAGGGGCAAGATTAGCGTGCATTGGTGCTGTGTGTCACGTCACTGTGGTGGTGGAGAGCTTTTGTCCCCGGTGGTAATCCGCTCCTCTAAATGCCTCAAACCTTGGTATTCTGTTTCAAAACAAGGCTGGATTATTTCCACTATTGAGAGGGAAAAAATGTTGGTAATGCCCAGCAGCTCAATCTTTTGTGCTGAGCATGGTCTTTTGTTATAAGGCCCAACTCTTTTGTCCCAGTTCTGGGCTCCCCGGCTCTGCATATAAAGCCTACATGTATGTACTCGAAAAAGCGTCGCCCAGCAAGAAGTGGTTAAAAGTCAATAATGGCAGCACTAATTTAGGAAGGGTCCACTGGACACACAATAACCACAACTGTAAAACCTTCTCTTCTACTAAATGGAGAGAAGTTTACTACACATAAGGAAAATGTGCAATGAACGAATAAAATGGAGAATGGAGAATTAAGTTCAAAGGTTGCAAACTCTGGAGGATGCAGTCACTGCTGATGTGGAATGAAGGAAAATAAAATGCGCTTGTCAAAACAATGCATTTTTGTCAAACCACTTATTGGGCCTACACGTAATTAATTTCATGCACTCTTCTTGTCATTGCAGAGAAGTTGATATTAGCAGTTTTGATGTTTTGATCAGTAGTTTTCTCTTCACAGAGCCAAGTTGGGTATGCCACAGTTTCTAAGCCCTGAGGCCCAGAGTCTCCTCCGACAACTGTTCAAGAGAAACCCCGCCAATCGGCTAGGCGCAGGAGATAATGGTGTTGAAGACATTAAAAAACATCCCTTCTTTGCATCCATTGACTTTGAAGTGAGTATTATATCACCATTTTCACTTAATCTTACATTCACAACAAAGCCAAATGTTTGTCAAGGTGATTTTCTTTCAGGATGCCAAATTTCATGTCCTCCTGTACCTATTGGTGTTATAAATTACTGAATGAGTGCCTACTTTTTCTTCGTTATGAGTATTTGATTCTCTAGCAGAACTGTTTTGGGGAGCTGTAAGCATCCTGGAGTGGAGTTTGTCACTAACTCACAAGGCACAATCTTTTGTTTTTTCTTGATTGTAGTGCACACGTGTATCCTTCCAATAGTGCATGTTAGAGTAGCTTCACTGGTACATGTTCTGCAGATGTTCCTTTAGCCTTCAGGGCATCTTTCCCAGCATATTAAAGTTATCTTGAAAATGACAAGCCTTTAACGTGTAACTTTGTGCTTGGTGTAAATCCGTCCAGTAACTCGGAAGAATATAGATATGCTACCTGTTATACTACGCTGTGTGTTAATGTCCATGAAATTTCTGCTGTTTGCTGGCATGTTAGCTGAATTCAACAGATTGCAGGCATTTCCTATGAAACCTGTCATGCACTGGTAGACCACAACACGTGAATGTGAAGTCAGAAACTTACAGGAAATATAGGGTTTTTAGGGTACCACTGACGGGAAGAATGGGGTACACAGCCAGCTTTGGCCGTGGACAAAGTGGAAATTGTTCAAAACACTGCGGCCAATAGTAAGGGCACTAACCGCCAAAGCCTCGGTGAAATTCAAGCACTGACAATGTACGTGTACTGGTACTCGGTGGTGTATGCTCACCCTCATGCTGACAGTATTTGCCATTGGCTTTGTGCATACATATACATGTCAAGTCAGTGACTAGTCTATGGAAGCTGACTTAGAGTGGTCACCTGATTTGGTGGCATGTCATACCAGTTGAAGCAAAATACATCTACTGCCCTGTGACACTGCCTCAGAAAGTAGTAAAGACATGAGTCAGCTTGTGAGGTCTCACTAGTATGGCAGGGGTTTTATGGATTCACTGAGTGGGGCATTTGAGACCAAACTTAATTGGAAAAAAGGTTGAAAAACATGACAGTTAACCTTACTGGAAAACTCATTTGGAAAGTGTTTTGAGCAGATCTTTCATACCAAAGCATGGCTTTTTTCCTCACTGTTATTCCAGGGATCCACTTGTGAAACCACATGCAGGTATGAAATAGCTCTAGAACTAAATGTGGCTGAAATGTTGGACTTCAAAGCTTGTTGTCAAATGCACTTATAGAATTGGATAATGGCTTCTGAAAACATTCGTGTTTGGTAAAAATGTATGTACAAGTTGATGTACACTGTAAGTTTCTGTCCTGTATGCAGCATTAGGTACATTTTGGCTGCACCTTAAGTGTGTCTGTTGGCAGTATCGACCAAGATCATGTAAAAACTATTAGTGCATTTTAAGTTGTGGCTGTAAAAATGAGGCTGACATCAGTGTGACCAGAGCATCCACACAAACCACTGCCATCCTGTTTGCTCCTGTTCACAGTTTGAAAAGAACCACAACAAACATCCTAACCACGGCCTAAAAAGGCCCAACAAATTTACAGGATAGCCACACCAGGCATTCACACGCTGGCAAATAGGAACAGAAACATTTCATTTATTGTTAGTGGAGTATTGAAGTTCATACACACGCACTTACAGCCAAAGTCATCTGGACCATTTCCTGTGAACACCACAAGAGTTTCATTGACTTACATGTAAGTTGCATGCAATATGTGGAAATAGTCTAGACCATTCAACAGTTAAATGTTCTCTTAGAGGTGATTTTCATTCTGTTGAAAGTATTTTTGCCTCCGCTCCTGAGCCAGTTCAGTCATTCAGTACTTTGTGCTTGTTTACACCAAGATTTGATAAGTTTCCTTTATTGAGAAACAATTTGCCTTACGTGTGACTAAAGCAGTCACAGCTAGGTTCTAACAAAACTGGTTCTAGTTTTGAAATATTAAAATACAAAATTTCAAAGCATTGGACAGAACCATTTTCAAGATGGCTTGTGTGTCAAGCTTCATGCAAATGAATGCTTCCAACATGTGTATTTATTGCATGAATATTAATAACAAAATGCAGAGTCAATCACCATATCCTCCTTACACGCATGTAGTTTGGTGTGCATACAGTATACATCGTACCTATCTCAACTTCACACCTAAGACAATTAACCCAGTCCTATTGGTTGAGGGCTTGTCACAGGGTCAGTCTGAAACATTTGATAAGGCATGTGACCATCCAACAACAAAAAGTGGCCCTTAAACAACAACAAACAGTGGAACACTTCCATACTAAACACCATTGTACGGAACAATTGGGTTTACCAAACATGCCCCCTTGGTTCCTGAATCTGCTGTGCATTTTATATTTTATAGATTTGCTTCAAATTCAGAAATTTAAGACTGATGATAATGACTTGTAAGGAAATCATACTCACAAAGGAACAAGGCTCAACATACTGCGCAGTCGGCATTGTTCGGTGGTACATGTATGCTATGTGTGCATGTATGGGCATGTGGCCAAGTAGACCTGCCACAAAGTTTGTGCATGCAACAAGGAAAACTCCAACCCTGATCCAGAAATTTTGTTCGTGTTACGCCTACAAAGAAAAGGATTTTCCAATTTAGCAGCAATTTAGCTCTGCATGTCGCAGGCAATTTTTAAGTAACGGCTCAAGGAAAACTCTTCGGAAACTTGATTTCATTTCGTGTTTTGACTTTCTTTGAGAACTACCCAAAAGGTGAAAAGTGGAAGGAATTAAACATGAATTGAAGAAAATGTATTAGTCTGCATTTTATGTATTTTTAGCTTGATTGTTTGGCCCCAAATCCTCACATATGCAGAAACATTCATGAGGCTTACAGCCACGTTTGAATGGCCAGGATGGGAGGGAGTACATTTAATACTGGACAAGTGAATATTGCCATACTGAATGACTGCTCTCGAGTACTAAAGAGCGACGTCGTTTTGAACCAGGAAGTGCAGTACAAATGAATGGAGTACGCGCTTGTTGAAATGTGTTCAATGAAGCTCAATCGTTTCCCCCCCCCCAAAAAAAACATGGTGAGTTTGAAGCCCTGGGATATTGTGGGTAAAACAAAAGGTATGCTTAAAACCATTTTTAGACGAAATGTAATTTGAAACCGTTGAATAAAGAGTGCCGATAATAAAGATGAACTTCTGGCCCAAGCCCAAAAGTTTAATGTAAATATCATTTGCTTTCCCAATCTGTGGCTATATCTGAATCGGTTGTCTCGTACAAGGTCTAGGTCTTCAATCCATTGGAAATACATGGAGATGCGTTGACAATAAACATACATGTAACTATAGATCTGAAAGCCCGCTTCAGATATGGCTTGAACATGTTTTCTTGAAAAGGCATTTTTTTGGTTACAGAAGGTAAAATGTTTTGTCAGTGGGTGAATTTTGAAGCCGAGGGAAATTTGGGGTCAGAAAAATGTTAAACCCTTTTTAAAATCAACCAATGTAATTATGTGTATACATCATTTATAGAAGTTTTTTTTAATTGGGGAATACAATTTTCAAGTGTTAACATATTTGAAACAGTGTGTTTAATTTCTTGATTTATCAATGGCAGTAATGGTGGTTATCAGATGTCATTGCTTAGAAACAGAAACAAGAGGCCTGTGAAATATGAATGTACATGTATGAATAAGACAAAAGCACAAAAAAATTGTGAATGCTGTTATTTTCAAGAAAACAGACATTTTGTTTTACAACAGTGGCCAGCTGAAACTTGAAACATAATGGTACAGTCCAACCCTCTGCTTTGCATATTTTGGCCAACATGACTATACCAACATGTACATGTATTTTAATAAACCATAACTGCAAGTTTCAGATGTCGAACCTCTCTGCCCATGATTATTGGTTAGGTCCTACGTCTGTCCGTTGAGAATATGTTTTGGACTTGCATTGACAGTCTTGGCTGAATACTGGATTTGCGTTGTTAAGTCTATACACACTACACGGGAGATGTGTGCTGGTCATCGCGGCCAAATAGCAGTAACGATAGAGGGCGCCAATCTTTGGGAGACATATTACTGAAATCTAGACTGAGTGAATCTGGCAGCCTCCGCCCCCCAAGAATTCCAAGCATACCTCACAAGCTTGAGTTACTAATAATCCCGGCAGCATATACACATTGCAAGACAGTTGGAATGAGTACCGCGACATACGGTATGGTACCACCCCATGTGTAATAATTCAACTGATTGTCATCGTTAAAATGTTATTTGACTTGTCTCATTGATAATACATGTATGAACAATCAACCCCCAATAAGCGGAATCCCACCTGATGTCCATAACATTATAGCCTGTTAGCCTGCACCGTTAGCATGCCTTGGGTTGTGTACTTGTATATAACACTGCTTGGAGGCAGCTCCCGATTGATCTGTTGATGTGGGAACATGATCAGTGGCGTGCATACATTCAGTTGTTGAAATGGCAGTACAGTAGTATGTACATGTACATGTAGTTTGCTATGCTATGGGGGGCTGTCCTTTTTGCTGTGGTTTGAGTACACATACTGTACATGTAGGTCCGATTGGACACAAGGCGTCAATACTACTGTACGTTGGACAATACATTTCAGAAAATGAATATTCCTAGTTTTTGCCAATGTTTCTTAACATTTTCTCTTGATGCAATTTTTTGGGGAATTAAAAACCATACCACAAGTATACCAACTATAGCTGATTGTGAAAAATACCTCCTTGCACTTGTGATATTCAGACCCTGAAAATTGAGTAATTAATATTTTCAATTGTTTCCACTCTAAAAACCGGACAAATTTCATGTTAGTTTAATTTGATACCATCAGCTATTTTGTGAGCCAGCCATGGTGGAACAATGAAATGCTCATTCGTGTCATCAGCGACATTTGTCCAGTTCTTCAAAATAATCAGTTTTTAGTTGGTGTTACCATTTCACCAGTGTTACCAACACATTCAACCATTCATCGAATGTGTCAAGGTGCCAAGTCCACTTCGCAACAGTGTGAGTTGATGTACACGTGCCCACAGTAATTTGAGCACATGAGGTATGCTCAGAACTTTTTGGATAGGCCTGCTATATTCACCAAGACCAAATTTCAGCAGTTTGTCTCTAATGGATTGGCACCCTCTACCGTTACTGCTATTTGGCTGTGCTTTGTCAATGCATGTTGCCCTCATGGTGTCCTGAGACAAAACAATGCAACTTCAGGCTTGAACCAAGTCTATCATTCAGATGACACCTGCTGGCTGATCATACATGTATGTTCATGTGAACAAGTACTCAACATGTATATGATCAGTGTACAGAGTCACTATGCCTTTTGCTGTCGAAATCTAAGAGAACGGCACATGGAGCTTTCCACTCTCATGATTTTCTTAATAAAATGTCTGCACGTATTCCTTTTGATTGTGCATGGTGCATTCATCTTCCTTTTGTTTGGATTTTAGAAACTCCTGAGGAAAGAAATTTCACCCCCTTTCAAGCCAGCTGTGTCTGCTGCTGATGACACCTTCTACTTTGATACAGAGTTTACATCCAGAACCCCCAAAGGTACATTGTACTAACTGCTAGTCAGATATTTGGCATACAACCACAAATATAACTGACTTACAGATTGATGTTATCTGACTGGTGGCACTTACTTCACATGACATTCCTTATTGATACCATTTGCCTATGGTTAATTCAGATTTATTCAACAGTTCAGATCATCCGGCTTTTCATGGCTTGTCGTACTTGCACTTTGTCTCATGAAATGGAAAAGTGCCAATTTTACTTTGTGATAATATTCCTCCTATTCCACCTTGAGCCACTCAGTATTTGTGTACTTGCTTATGAAATGAATACTTAATCTTTCTTATGCCCTCTGACAAAGTTGAAGGGGCATACTGTTTCTACCTCAACCTTCCATGCGTATGTGTGGGGAATGGCTAGGCCTTCCCTGTGTTAAGGTGACAATTTCTGTTAGGAAATTTGAGACTGCATTGTGGGGACAAAAACTTGTTCCCATAGCATTTATGGTCCCTACACAGTACCCGTATGTGAAAATACAAGTGTATTTACACAGTAGAAGTGCGTGTAGGTATTGAAAGTATGTGAGTTTGTTTCTGCATTCAATTGGGGACCCTGAACAATAGAGGACAACAAGGTCCCCGATTGACAGAGGGTCCCCGATTGACAACTGTGTACAAAACATATGGATGGTCTTGTAAAAAATTTAAAGTACAAACAAAAGAGGAACAATAGGGGGTCCCCAGTTGCAGGCAAATACACACTTCCATGTGTGTGTTTCCGGAATATTTTCTTGTCCGCGTCATAACTTCACCAATATTTTATGTACGAACTTCAAGCTTGGTTTGTGGATTGCTCTTGGGTATTCCAAAGAAGCCTATTGAATTTGGGGCTGAAAAGTCAAAGGTTATGGTGACAATGGCTAAAACAGTAGAAATATTGTCAGCCCAATAACTCAAGAAATACTTTGTGCATGAATAAGGGAATAAATAAATGCTTGGCCGGTGTGCATTTAAGACCAGCTCAGGAAAATGAACGCGACTAATTATCAACATTCATTCTCCTGACCAAGAACATATTTATTCCCATTTGTAAATACGGTTTTAGTCAGTGAATCAAAAGAAGTCAAAATACAGATACGATAAATGTTCAAGGAATTTATTCAAGAATTCTACTTTCATTTTCCTGAACACCCTGTCCACTTTATGGAATATCTCCTTATATGGACTTGGCATGCGCGAGGCAAGTTGTGTGTGCTGTGGCGCACACAGACTTTTGGCCAATAGAAATGGAATACACTGTCTTGTATCCAGGTGCCAGTGCATTTTTATGCAGTGGACATTATCAAATGTTAATATGGTCGTGTTGCGTGTTGTTGTATAGGGAAACTGTCTAAGGTATTTTAGGAATAAGTACAGTATTTTTTTTAGCTATGGCCACTTCATTTCATGATTAAATGATGGTGTTCTTATTTTGAATAGTGTGATATTTTAAAGGCATTTTTGTACCATTCGCACCTCTCATAATTTACCGCACGTCAGTGCAATTTTCTCCCTGCTTTCAATGAAATGTAATTTTGCAATGTAAAGCATGTGGTACATGTACATACTAGTACATATACATGCACATGTGCATGGATTTACCATTGACCTGTAGGTAGGCACTAGAGGTTTGTTCTTGTAGATTGTGGAAGTGTCTAGTGTTAGCTCAGTGACACATGTAGGAAATTGGTCTGATTACTTGTGGGTTCTGTGGCTAGACATAATGCCTTGCAGTGGCACAGACCGGATGGTATTCATTGTCATGACAGGTGAGAGGTGGTGTTCCTCATCGCCCAGGCAGGATGTACATGCTGGTTATTATTCATTTCTCTTACACGGGTCATGGAGATGTTAATATTAGACACACTGTTGAATGTTCGTTGTCATGTCAGGACTGGCAGTTTACATGTATATTAGCGGTATAGGAAGAAATCTTCAGCATTCATGTACACAACGGGCACGTTTTGTTTGTTTGTTTTTTGCTTCCATTACTAATTAGTGACATACAGTAAATCACAAGCCAAATTTACGGATCATTCTTAACATTTGGGGTCCAATGTTTTTGTATCTCTGTCACATCAAGATTTCGTATAACACATTCTTCAATTTGCAAGAGGGACAAAGTAATACAAATTACCTGCCAGACAAATATTAGATATTTATGCTATAGTATGAAATCACTTTTAATTATATTAAATCAAATATTAAAATGACTTGAGTTGCACATGGTGAAAGTTTTGAATCTGTCTTTTCAAAAGCATTTATGAAATCAGATGAAGTGTGATTGTTAGATTTTCAGCAGCACAAGCAGTCAGAATGTGCACAAACAATTTCTGTCCATTTTCTGCACACAAAGCGTGAACAGTGAAAAGGAGCTGATACAAGTTGTCTGTGTAAACGCAAAGTTGTTCATATTGAATGAAATGTTTATGTTTCAGTGGCTTTTGATTTGACTTGAAAATAAACAGTGAGATTCCTCCATATTTATTGTCATTTGAAACACTACGGTACCATTTAACATGTTTAAAAGGAGTTCTTCTGGTAAGAATACAATGTTATTCTCATCACCTGCCTAGTTTTGTACAATATACACAGGGGTCAGTTTCATGCAGCTGTTAAGATATCATCATCTCATGTAGTTGGGGGCTGGCAAAATAAGTCAGTATAGGCCCCTACTGCCTGTAACTGGATCTTAGGCTGTGTCCGAAACGGGCTTCCAGAGCTACGGCTAGGTCTATTGTGTATGCGTCTCCACGCATTTCCAATGGAGTGAAGACCTAGACCTAGCTCTAGACAAGAGATTTGGATGCAGCCTTAACATATATTTGTACCCATTACCACTTGCTAAATGCTGTATGTGTCACAAAATGAAATCATAGATGTCTTGGCTGTCTTGTTCATTGAATCACACAGCTCACCATGAATAGCTGGTTATTATTGTAAGAAGTGACAAATGGTTGGCAGTACATTTTGTTTGGATCATGCCATTAGATTCTCCAGGACTACCTCCCAGTGCAAGTGCCCATCAGCTGTTCCGTGGATTCAGCTACATTGCTCCTGTCCTCTTACAAGAAGATGAGGCAAAGGCAGCAACTAATAACTCACATACACAACCAACAAAAGACACAGTACATGTAAGTTTCTTACTTTACATGGGCAGCGTATTGCTCTGTAGCAAATGGTAGCCCAGATGTTTTCCATGATTGGGTCAGGGTAGGTCTGGATTTTGCCCACTCCCTGGGGGTAGCAGTAGTGGTTAAAATCACTCTTTATCTTATTTCATTAATTTACTTTAACTACCTTACTCTCATCAAAGTGGCTTTGCTCTGTTTTCATGGATTATGAAATGTACAAGCCAACCTCTGCTTCTTTACATTGGGCTTGCTATTCCCATTTGTGTCACTGGTTTGCAGCCTTGTGTTAGATTTAGGCGAAATCTGCAAAGCTTTTGCATAAATGTTCTCCAATAGAGATCAGGATCAAGATTCCCTGAAATGAATTTCACATTGAAACAGTCGGTAATCATACTTCGGAATCGGACAAAAACAGTCTGTGTTTTGTTGTTGCACAGCACAATAGTAAACCTAACCTGAAGCTCAGTGTGACACTTGTGTGTATATACATGTATGTTTCCTGATTGATTGATATTCATGAATGAAACAACACAACAGAAATTGAAACGACAGAAAATGGACACAATTCCTGGCAGTTAGATCATCCACATGCTAAATAAAGTCCTGAAACACATTTAATACATTTTCAATGAGTGGTTAATTGGACTTGTGTGTGTACATGTACGCTATATGTATGGTGGAGTTGTCTGAATTGCATCTCTTGGAAAGACATTGATAAGCTATATGCAGACATGATTTGTTCCTGTTTATGTCATTAACAGCTTCCAGTCAAACATGCACGAGTGACAAACATCACCGAGGAATATGAGCTCCAGGATGTAAGTCATTATCTACATGTATGTCATTGTGATTGAATAGAAAAAATGAATAGTGCATTCAGGATTTTGTAAACATGTTGTAAGATCAGACTTCCAGCAAAAGTATTGGAGGTGCATATCAATGCTCACTTCACACTTTGGGATTTGTTGATAGAAATTTTGATTTTCAAATAAAGCTCATTGTAGTACTTTTATTCAGTTTCCTCATTGAGCGACAATTGTATACTCATTAACAAATGAAATACCAAAAACAAAAAATTACTCAGACGTGTACATGTATGTTTTCCTCAAATCAATCAGTTCTCTTGGTTCTTTATTGCCCATTTATGCCATTAGAACTTGGAAGCCCTGCACAAAGTCTTTTGCGACCTCCATGTTTCTTCATTTTTGTCTGAATGCCTCATTGCATTCCTGAGACTGGAAGTCTAAGATCACTGTTGTCGTGTCAGAAGTGTGGAAATTTATATTAGCATAAAATAGAAAACATTTGAAACACTAGAGAGGTTGTGCGTGACAACCATTATTTTTTGTAAGAGCTTTTGCTCCACAGGGATAGACATGAGTAGACGTTTTGCACTATCCCTTCTTAACAAAAGCAGTGTACTGGAAAGATGGCTGCCATTCACAATATCTATACAATTTCAATACAAAATTTTAAAGTAAAACTTGAGACAATTCATGGTAAATTTTGTTCTCATCATGTTGCACATTGTGTGTACAATCTTGTGTATTGTAGGTCATTGGTCTTGGGTCTTTCTCCAAGTGTCTCTGTTGCGTCCATAAAGCATCAGGCCAGCAGTATGCTGTCAAGATCATCCCTAAAGGAAAGAAGGATGTTCAGGAAGAGATTGAAGTCATGCTAAGATATGGACACCATCCTAATATCATCACATTAAGAGATGTAAGACTTGTTGACCATATCAATAGTGCACCAGCATTAAGCAAAGCCAACCCACTGCAGTTATTTTCTGTGTTTTAGTCCCCTGAAAATAACAACGTTTGGAATAATCAGGGAATGGATCAATGACAGTAGTCAATTCCCAGCAAGTCAGTGGGAACATTTTTTGCATTACCCACAAGATCAGCTCCATGTAGAATGGTAGAGGGTACCGTACCTTCTCAGTTGTGATGATGTTTACAGACTTTTGCACATTCTTGTTCTCTAGTCATGGCGACTACACTTGTCTTGAAATGTAGTCGTTGTGGGCACTTCAATTGTTATGCCGACAAATTATTATTCCACAACTTGGTCCTGACTTTCCTAAGAATAGAAATTAACCCCTTATTTACCCTGTCAACTCCATGTTTTACTTTACATGTACCACAGAGGAGATGACATTTGGAACAAGAGAGGGCGTATCTTTACATACCATCACACACACCAATAACGCTTTTCCGATGGGAACTCACCACGTGCACACACACCACCACCCTTACATTTATATTCTGGGGGAGGGGGCCATTTTCTTTGTTCTCATGTGCTGGAAAGATAGTGTGTGAAGTGCAGTTTTCAAATCACTTCCATTTAAACCAGACTATCTTTCCTGGGTTGATATTTCAATCAAATGTCCCTTATGTGAAATACTTCAATTTGCTACCAATAAGTATACCTTGGAAATTCCTCCTTTTTATTGTGACATTCTTGTGGGTACCATTTAAGTATCCCACAAGGACATTGGATGTTCCTTGTGGGGTACTTCCTATTGTTTTGGTACCCGATGAGGCACCACAAACGGACACAAACACTGGTTTTTGCTCATTTTGCATAGGCTACAGTGAGCACATATGAGTAATTTCCTTTGAATGTATAGTTTCCACATGTGCACTATGCCCATGAGAGAGCCCTATTGAAAAACTTCCCATAGGGTTGTCTCGTCTTTGACTTTGAGGATGCTCTTAAACTCAGGGAGGAATGCCTACCATATAACACTCTCCACTAATTGTGCACAGGTATCTATCGGTACCACAGAGGACAACAGCACTAAAGACAAAGAAAAGATTTGTTCCTTTTGCTTTCTGTTCTCTGTGGTAAAGTAAAGGATGCACACATGTTTGGACAAGCATGCATAAATCTATTTATCCAAACATGTATCAACCTTTCTGAGCACTGTATTTGGCTCAGTTCTTGAAGTGATCATTTGATTGTATGCAGGCAACAATACACACATTTCTGTGATAGTTAACTGTTGACTGGTTTGTCAGGTATATGATGATGGCCAGAATGTGTACATGGTGATGGAATTAATGAAAGGTGGTGAGCTGCTTGACAAAATCCTCAAGAAGAAACATCTATCTGAAAGAGAAGCTTGTGAGATCATGCGTGTTATAACCAAGACAGTGGACTACCTCCATCAACAGCGGGTAAGCCTATTAAAGAGCACCTCTAAGGAAAATGTGTTTTCTCTGATTTTATCAGTTCAAATGGATATTGAAGCATCAACGTTGAGTGCAGTGTCATTTGTCTTCAGAGCTCAACTATAACAAGCTTAAAAGGGCTATTTTTCCTCTTTATGTCAAGATGCGAATTCTGAATGTAGATTGTGTCATTTGGAGAAAACGAGGGGAACCCTCACCCTGTGTTTGTAGGGGATAAACCCATGTGCATGCCAAACAGTGGCTACAAACAATGGCTACGTGCATTCATAGTAAATATACCTTTGATAGTAAACATATCTTATTCAAAACATTTCACAGTATTTAACAGACACCATCAAGTGCAGATGTCATTTTTACACTTGTTCAAAAAGATACAATAATGAGTTGCTAAACGTGAATACAATGCACTCTCTGTTTAACCTTAACCCCCCAGGGACCATTGAAATCCTGCATAACCTTGTTGGGTTCAGTGTGGTTAGGGTTAATCTCTAAATTCCTAAAACTACAGGTTTGCAACCCTTTCTTGGAATAGTTATCTTTTGTATCAATCCATTAATTTCTTACTTCGTAGGAAAATACATATCTTTTCTCTATCTTCCTCATTAAAAACACAACTAATTCAAAATAATCAAAATAGGATAGCAAAATCTTGGTTGAACAAGTTGGATTCGGTTGTGAGACCAACTCGCTTTATTCTACATACTCTCCAATCATATCTTTTCATACATTATAATTAGCGAAATTGATTCCTCCTTCACTTTGAACACTGAAAACCACCTATTAAGCAAAACCAAAAATCTATCAGTGGGTTTGATAACAATTCTTCAGCAACAATTCTTCAAATTTTTTCAAATTCCTGGCGATTTCGATGGGAGAAGTTTGGCTTTGATATCTGGCTGGACATAGGCACTCCTGGCTTTGTCTGTTTTCCATCTGCAGTGGCGTGCAACTAGCCACGTTGGTACAGACGCATTACTTCCTGCAGACGCACCACCTGCTCTGAGGCTGTGGAGACCATGCTTGCTAATGTCTTATACAATGGGTTTTAAGGCTTCAAGTACAATCTCACAGGTTCTAGTGTAGCTTAGGGGTCGGCAAGTGGGAATTAACCCTTTCGTAGAAGTAGTTAACCTACGAATGACCGGAAACTCGTAATCTGGCGAATCTCCGAGAGCATTCAAGTACCTTTTGGCAATGGAAACTGGGCATGCAGATCTATGCGTTCTGGCTATTGTAACTAAACTACATGTACCTTGACGAAATTGATCCGTTTTAGGCTTGGATAAATAAATTGTCATGCGATCTTGGTAAACGTACAATCTTTAGATCTAATGGTTGCAATATCACTGAATCTCAGAAAACCGGCATAACTTAGAAAAGAAATAAACAGAATTCTAAGATCTGCCAGATCAGCGGAAGGCTGACCATGGGAAGCTAAAAAATTTTCAAAATCTGCCACTGTGATAGGCTCCTTCCTTTGTGTTGGGGAGGTATATAGCCGGTTGTATCCCTGTAGTGCTGTCTTGAACAATGGATCATCGGTAGGCGAAGGCAGAGTGGCTAGCGAATGCGTCCATTTCACAGCTGCTGCAGAGGCATTGGCAGCTGTCTTTGCTCCTGATGACTGACCAAGGTACGCCAAATAGAGGCTCAAATGGTATGGCTCCGCCGGGAAAACTCGCACTCCAGACCTGGTTGTCACCCATTTCTCCCATCTACTCCAGGCGAGTGAATACTTTGATGCGGTGGACGGAGCTTTGGCTGACGGCAGAAGAACCGGGAGTTGAGCCTCTGCTAATTCTTGCAAATACGGATCGATTAAAGCTGACGCACGAGAATCCCATACCTCTGGAAAAGGGAAAAGAGAGAACGGCCAACAGAAAACCGTTCATATGGAACGGGTCATAAAGTGAATAAAATGTCAACTTTTCAACAACACAAATGGGCCGAAATGCGCCGTAGATGACAAAATATCACGTGGCATCAAATACCGGTAGCCTTATTGCACAAACTGCTAAGCAAACTCGTCTGAGGAAGTTACTTGGGATCTCTCACGCCTTGGTGAAACAACGCCAATTGGCACCAAATAGCTTCATTGCTCAAAAAGAAATCAAATGTCAGACAATGTCCACGTCCCACTTGCATAAAGTAGGACAGGAATGACTGCAATCTCGAGGGGCATAGTTGGTGTCTCAGCTAATGGAGGCCAATCTCTAGAAATGGGTTAGGCATTCATAAGCAATGTTGGCGAGGCCGAGTCATTTTGTAATCTCATGCTCGGATTTGGAGGAGGTACAAAGAGAAGAGCCCATGTACACAAGTCTATCGGCTGAGGTCACCTCAACATCTCCAATCTTGCTGGTTGCTGGCAATGGAGGGGCAAAATCTGGCAAAGATTGAATTTTGATTTTTGCCCAACTTATGGTTAGTCCTAAGGGGGTTGTCTCTTGAGCCATAACAATGAGAGGACATGAATTGTCTTGGCAAAAAGAACAACTTCATCTGCATAGCAAAAATCAGTGTAGTGACTGTGGTATTGGACACTAGGGTCAGGTGATCACTGCAGGGTCTCCGCCAACCAATAATCTGTGGCAATGTTGAAAGGATTTGTGCAGCAACACAACCCTGACAAACCCCAGATGTTGTTGAGAATAGATCAGACAGCAGTCCGTCAGACCAGATCCGGCATCGCGTGGTTGAGTAGAGGGCAGGTAGAATGGCAACCAGCTTTGGAGGTACACCCACACCCTGAATCAATTTCCAGAGTGCATCCTTCACAGGGATGCTTGTCCGCTCTCCTGAGCTGGTCGCACGCTTAAGACTGGTCAAGCACATACACGTATTTATTCCTTTATTCATCCATAACTTGGCAGTCGTTTTTGTGTAAAGTGAATTGCTGGTGAACACAGTCTTAAGGATATTTGTTTCCCTTTCCTAGGTGGTTCATCGTGACCTAAAGCCAAGCAACATACTCTATGCAGATGACTCGGGACACCCTAGCTCACTGAGAATCAGTGACTTTGGATTTGCAAAGCAGATGCGAGCAGACAATGGTTTGCTGATGACACCGTGTTATACTGCAAACTTTGTTGCACCGGAGGTAAAGAGCACATGCACTAATTCAAATATCTTTGTGTTGAAAGAGCCATTTGCTCACCTCTCGGCTTTCTCTTCAAAGAAAACTATTGCTACATTGCAGTCTTATCAGTTGTTGTATAGCACATGTTACAAAATGTCTCTCTATGTGCTGATGAATGAAAGCAGGTAAGTCTTACTCAGGGGTGTGAAATCTCCGTTTCTCAGCAGATTTCTGCTTTTTTGTTCCAAATGCCGAATTTATTTTCTGTTTTTTTGCTGTTAGTGGATCAGATTTCCTTGTTTTTTCTTCCTTTCCCAAATGCTGATTTTTCTCCCTTTTGGGGGGGTTCTTTTTCTGTCAATGCAATAGCCAGACCAAACTTTGCACATGTACACTGTACATGCACGTGTATGCCCCGTACATGCGTACAGTGTATAAAATCTGTGTGCTGGCATATACATGTATATACAGTGCGGAGCAAGTCTCGTGTGTGAAAAGTATCCTTGGATCATCCGGTCATTGTGCTGTGATTGGCTGCCAATGAAATATCAGTATTCATACATGTGTCAGTTGGACTCGTTGCAGCCATTCCTGTGTGAGCAGAAGTAGTGACTAACAAGCTCCACTATAACTTGTGGTAGCATACATTTCATTGTAGATTTGTGACTTGAAGTAAGGTTAGTAAATTTTCACTTTCACTGATCGAGGGTTTTGTGACAACTGGTACGGGGTGTGCAAAGTTCTTCTTGTGTTATGTACTCTCGTGCAGTTTTGCATTTGTTTTGGTGAGCTTTCAAACAATTTCTGGACATATTTCATCGAAATATCAGTGCAACACAAATGTACAATTGTCCAAAGAGGTTCTGACTTGGATACAGTCTATGATAAGACTGGTCCTCAAGTTATAAATCCGCGTAAATGGACGTGAATGGACTACACAGTAGATGTGACGGGCAGGCAACATGGTCTGTGCAAAGAAAATCCAAAAGCCTGGACATGAGATTAAGGCCTATGCACGCGATATGCGTTTTTCAATAACTGAAATTTTGAAAACATTCTCGGATCAGGCGGGAAAAGGGCCGATTCACTCTACAAACCTTGAAATTTACAATTTTTGTATACTTATTACTAGTTCATCCGGAAAGAGTTCTATATACAACACTTCATGCTTCTGTGCACAAACCCCTGAGACTTTTCTAAAAAAAAACTGTTTACTAAGTAAATGCTGTGGAATTTTCTGAGCTATTTTTCACTTTTAGGACATGTTTTCACTTTCTGGACATGTTTTCACTTTCTGATGGCTGTTAAAATATTTTAAGGAAAATTAGTGTTGTCTATATATGTAACTTATATATATAACCTTTCATTTTAACCTCACCAGAAATTTCAGAGAAATATGAAGAAAAATTAAAATTAAAACTATGCATAGCATAAATTGCAAGAAAAAAATGATCAGCAGTTGCACCAAAAGGCTGTAAAATGCACCACAGAGCATCTACGTTTCAAAATTTTCACGGGGCCCCTGTAAGGTCCCGGACCCCACGCCGTGTATTTTTCAAACGCATGATTTCAGCTCTATTTTTTTACATTTCACTCACACCCCTGTTAGTTTTATATTGTTCATGCACCGTAATGTGGCATGGTGCGGCCCTTTACATGGTGTACTGTTTTGCCTCATGCGCCTTTTTGAAGCAATACTTTTACCTCAAATTTCACAGTAAGTGAAATTTCACTGAGTTCTAAATATTCCCACTCGTAAATCTTGAGTTTAGTTGACCTGTACAAAATTTCAAGGAAATATTATTGTGGCCTGATTTTCCAATTTGTTTTGAAGTACAAAACTTTAAAATACACCTAAAAGTAAGAAACTAATGTTGTTATGAGCTTGTAGGGTTATGTGAGTGGAGGTAAGGTAGTAGAATCTATCAACTTTGAAGAACGTCTTAAATGTTACTGTTGGATATTTTGATATTTTTTTCAGGTGCGCTATGTTAGGAAACACTCAGCTAAATATGTGCCTATTTCTGGAGGCTGCCGTTTTTGAATTTGGCGTGAGGAAAACAAAGGCGAACATTGAAATTGTGCCACGTTAGGGAGATTCGACTATACCTTGAGTTTAAAGTGCTGGAGAAACCATTGGGAGAACTAAGGGAAGAATGATGGCAAAGTCTTGTGGTCTTGAGACTTGTGGTGTGATGCCATGCCAGGCAGTGGGATTGACATGCACAAATACACGTTGAAATACAGACCATATAAGATCTGTAGCATTTTGCTCGCTTTTCATGTATGCAAATTTAGTGGAACGCCACTATAACGAACATGACGGGGTCCACTCTAAATGTTCGGTACAGCGGTCATTCGGTATAGCAAAATTAATTGCCGAACGTTTTGTTGCCTTGTTGAAAAGCACCCGCTCTTGTCTAACTGAAGTGCACCCTCTTGTGATATTATGATTCACTGTTTTCGTGATGTTTGCCATTGCATTTACGTTTGAGGTTTCAAGAAATGTATCTGTCTTTGTTTTTTATTAAATCTTGAGTTACAAAATTGATATTTAGTTTATCCTAAAAGTCATGAAGCTTCCGCTCAGGATCGATCTCTGATGTATGCTGTGGCGAATCTTGGTTGATTTGCAACTGCATAATGTTCTGTAGGTTTTGTGTACAAAATATTGGGAGCCAAGGACATTGTTCGGTACAGCCGAATGTCCGCTATAGCGGTGTTCGGTATAGCGACGTTCCACTGTAGTTCACTAACTCAGTTGTGTACATTGCACAATATTAACATGATCAGGACAGTGTAGCCACTTAACTGTTCCCACTTATCACACAGGCTGTTCACACCACACTCTCTGCAGTTCTTGCATAGAGCACATGTTAGGTGTAAATTTCCTATCTAGAATTTAGCTGCCAGTTAGTGTTTAATGACATCATGTATCCTTTTTGTGTCCTCTTTTCAATCCTAGGTACTGAAGAGACAAGGTTATGATGCAGCCTGTGACATATGGAGTCTGGGAGTTCTTCTCTATACAATGCTGGCAGGGTCAGTTTATTGATATAGTTAGCCATTTAACTTGGGCTATTGTCCCAGTTGTAACTTGAGTCTGGTCAAGGTTCATGTCAAGAAAATCACACACCGAAACTTGCTTGTCTTGAGTCACGTTTTGTGAATATCTAGATGTTCTTGAGAATTGAAACACTTTGTTTTTGATCCAAAATGACAACAGAGTTGGTGTGTGTTAATTGAAGTGGGTTTGAACTTGCTAGAACTCTGTATTAATAGGGAAGTTAAAAGTGGGACTCCTTTTATTTTCTAGCCATTTCCTTTGGTTATCTGAAAAGAAAATCAGTGAATTGTTCAAATAGTCGTGGTTTATTTAATGATACAGTAGATTCCCAGACTAGTGCTCTCACAGGGACCAAACTTATTTGAGTGTTATATCTGTACAAAGCAACTCAACAACATCATGCACATGTGACACTGCACAGTGCACCTGTACCATTTAACTATTAATCTCAAGTTTTAAAGCTATACACAACACAGCATTCACAGAAAAGCACATGTACGTGCCATCTAAAACCTCTATGATTTTTTTTACTGTACGGGTGGATAGAGTAGAATAAAACAAAACAGGTGTCTTC